AGGAATTTGGCTAATTAGACAAAAGTGGTATCTCCCAAAATACAATCCTTGGAAACCTGTGGGTTTTTAAGTAGACAACAACAGGGGTACGGACAAGGGCCAGAGTTCTGTGGTCAAACAAGTTTGGGAAATATTCTTCGAGAATGACCCACGTTTCTTCCCTGCAGGATCTGCCAAGGTCTTTAATATGGTAATAAGCATTTTGGTTGTCCAAGAGAGGGGTAGCTTATAGCACTCCACAAATGTTTTGGACCATGGAGCTCTTTTCTTCAAGAGGCGTCTTAAGGGGAGAGGGCTTCGTAACATACATTTGGAGAAATCAGACTAGAGAGCTTGTCTTTAGAGCAAGTCTTTTGAGGGATGCCTTGCGGGTGGCTCAGTTGGTTAAGCATCAGCCTCCTGATTTCAGCTCAGACCATGACCTCAGGGTCCTGGGTTTGGGCTTCGTGCTCAGCCCGGAGTTTGCTTAAGATTTTCTTTCTCCCAAAAAAAAAAAAAAAAAAAAAAAAAGCTACTAAAAGGAAAAAAAAGTAAGTCTTGAATCAAAATCAATTAACTTCTTATCCATAAAAAAAAAAGATTCTCTCTCTCCCTCTGCCCTCCCCCAATTCTCTCTCTCTCTCTCTCTTTCCCTCCCTCCCTCAAATTAATAAGTAAATCTTTAAGAATAAGTCTCTTACAAGGAAGGTTGGTGGTGAAATGGAAAGAAAGGAGACTGGAATTTTGGTCTGGGTTCTACTACTAACTGCTTATCTGGTCACTGGACTTCCCCAGGTCTGTTTCCACAGAGGCTACACTAGTACAGGTCTTTCAACTCCAGAAGTCTATGATCATGTGCACAATCAGAAGAACATCGTCGGTGATTTTCTACTCTGTAATAACACTGGTGGCAGAGACAGTGGTGGAGAAAGTTGAGGGCAGAGGGGCCGTGACAACAAGATGAGTAAGATGTGGTTTGAACCTTGAGCTGATAATGTGGTTGGGCACAGTTACAGGGCTGGACTGATGTAGCAGAGATAAAAGAAGTTTCCAGTTTTTTCTCAGGCCTCCCTGAATCCAGCCGTGTCAGCTGGTGCACACAGAAGGCCTAGTCGCCAAGGCAGTGCTAATTCCCAGTGGTCACTTAACCATCTAGTTGCAGTTTTGCAGCTGTGAGGCCTTAGATAAGTTACTTGGTCCTCTAGACCTGAAGAAGATGACTTCTTCATCTGTGAGGTAAGGGAGTTGGGTTAGACCAGAGGCTTCTGATGTTTTAGGAGGAGGAACTGTTTTGAGTCATTCTGGTTCTTACCTGGAGATGTTCCTCTTCTTCCACACACTCAAGGCAGATGGGTCCGGAGGTTTTGTCTTCATTTTTCTTCTCTCAGGTCATTTTATCTGCCTCAGACTTCACTTACTGCTTTTATGAATTTGATGTTCAAATATGTGTCTCTAACCCCAAACTCTCTCTTGAACGCCAGACTCTTCTGTGCTCATGTGTTTACCTGCTTCCATCTTAAGAAAACAATCTTTTTTTTATGGGACGAGGGATGGGGAAGGTGGAGGGAGGGAGAGAGAGAATCCTAAGCAGACTCCACGCCCAGTGCAGAGCCCGACGTGGGACTCTATCCCACAACCTTGAGATCACAACCTGTGCCGAAATCAAGAGTCAGACGCTTAACGGACTGAGACACCCAGGAGCCCCTTAAGGAACCCAATTCTTTGTCTTCAGAACCAAACTCACCATCTTCCCTTACATACCAGTTCCTCTTCCAGTTTTCCCAGGGTTTGTTAATAATGACGTGTTCCTGGTCATGTGCAGGTTGGAAACTCAAGCTTCTTTGACTCCTTCTTTCTTCCCCACTGTAGCCAGTTACTGGTCAACCCTCAGTTCTCTCCGCATTATCATTTCTTTCTTTTCCCTTCCTGATGTCGTTATTCTAGGTCAGGATCTGGTGGGTCCCTCTGCCCCTTGGCTCTCCTCTGCAGCATCCCCCATGCCAGGTTAAGCCTGTAGCTTAAGCCAGAGTCTCTAGACCTACCTCCCTCTCTTCCAATGCTGACAAAATCTGATTTCTACTTCAAGAGGCAGTTGTGCGATGCCTCCTCACTCCTTCAGACCTTCCCTGAACACCCCACTGGCCGCATTTCTCCTTCTTGTAGCACCTTATTCTTATCTATCTTATTATCCCCCAACCCGTATATGTATATGTTTATATCCTTTATATATTATGATATGTGTTATATACCTTCTTGGAGGCCAAGAGACATGTTTCTTTAATCTGCACACCTGACATGCACTAGGAGCTAGAAATGTCTTTAGATAAATTAATATTACATTATTTACCCATTATTCAAAATAATCATCTGTAAATTGAAACCACCCATTCATCTTAATAACAACCCCAATCAAACACTAATTTAATAAATAATCTCTAAATCCCAAACTAATTAAATCTTGGCTTTGGTGTCCTGCCATTCTTACTTATCTGTCTAGCATAGCGATGATTTTCTGAAGAATTTTGATTTTGATTACAGTCACGGTATTGGGTTAGTAAAATCATTAATTTACAGTTAAAGATAACTTGTCTCTTTTGTGAGACCATCGCTAGGAGGCCCCCGGCTTTGCTGTTTCATTCCCCCAAGGGCTGCCTTCCTTTCTAGCTGGAACATTGCATGATGGTGCGGTTCAGTGCCTGGGCTTTGGAGTAGGACAGACCTGGTTCTGAATTCTGACTCTGACTTTGCTCGCTGTGCTGCCCCGGCAGTTACTCCCAGACGTGTTCAGGAGCAAACCTCCTGAAGAACCAGCCCAGTCCAGGACATAGGATCAGTCTCACGTTATTTCTGTTCATAGAACGACAAAGGAAGGAGGCTACCAACAGCCAAGCATTGAACACTTGCTATGTGGTCGGCAGAGCTTATAGATTATTACGATTACTCTTTTTTTTAAAGATTTTATTTATTTGAGAAAGAGAGAGAGAGGGTGCCTGAGTGAATGGTGGGGGGAGACCGAATGAGAATCTCAAGCAGACTTGGCCCTGAGTGTGGAGCCGAGGGGGCCATGGTGGGGGAGGGACACAGGAAATGACTCAGTCTCATGACCCTGAGATCATGACCTGAGCCAAAACCGATAGATGCTCAACTGACTGAGCCACCCAGGTGTCCCTAGTTAATTACAATTATTCTTAATAACTTCACAAGATAGGTACATTACTTCCATTTTATAAGTAAGTGGACGCTAAGATTCTACAGCTAGTAAATCTCGGAGAGAGGCAGTGAACCCTCATTGGTCAGCATTAACTTGAGTATTTGAAACCTGCGGTGTAATGTGACCAGATTACCCCTCCAAGGGGAGGGTTTCCTGCAGGTGAGGGGTGTTCTGTTTCCATGTCAAGGAAGTTGTGACCGAAGACGGTTAATCTCGGTTCACTTGGTATACCACAGGGAAATAGTTTTCAGGAATACTGTCTGGGGATGCTGGGACCCTGATCCTGCCTTCTTGCCTCACGATTATGTGACACTGATGACAGTGAGTGTGTTACCAGAGAGGTTGTTTGCAAACATTCCTATAAAAATAGGCACAGAGATTGTTAACACAAGTCTTTCTGGTACAGTGAGGTAAGCCCCAGGCATAACACTGGGTGAGCCCCCAGTAGTATGGCAAAAAATTGGGTACCTTCTCAAATTTTGAATACTTGGGCCGCATGCCTTCTTAGGGAAGCAGAAGCCGGAAGAAAGCTGTACTAATATGTGTGACATCTGTTCTTGCTCCGTGTGGCCCATTTATTCCCATGAAGCCCTGTGTCCTTCACTGAAGAAAGTGGCAAGTCACAGTCACTGTTGAGCAGCCTGCCTTTGTACTGTGGTGCTGTGCGGACCTGGGGGGTGTTATATCCCACCAAGATATCCACAAGGATAGGACAAGGAGGACAAGATATCCGCAGAAATGACATAACCACACGCTAAAATGCAACACCGCCCAACACGTGTGACAGAAAAGCCGAGGAGAATGTATAGAGTGCTCATACGTGATTGTTAAAAATTGATACAAACTCTACATCCCTATATTTTCATTTATGTCTAGAAAGTTCTAGAAGACTGCTCAGGTAACTGATAACTAGTGGTGTCAAAGAAAGACAGGGATAGTCAGAGGGGGAAGTCAGACCTGCTTTGATTGCACAGAATGGTGGGTCCAGGGCTCAGGATACCCCTCAGGGGATCAACAAGAACAAGACCATTTTCACAATAATCCTAAAATGTTTTGTTGTTGTTGTTTTTATTTTTTTTTACTCTCAGTCTCCCACGATTACATGGTGGAGTTTTTCAGAGGTTAAGTGATAGGTGATATTGCAACAGACTGAATTCAGAAGCAGATAAAAGAATCTGCGTTGGATCAAGCCAGATATCAAAGGGATTCTTTAAAATGTAAAATAATGCTACTCTTCTCATTATTTTTTGAAAATAGCTATTTTTATTAAAAAATCATCATTTAAGCTAACACATAATCATCATAATAATTTAATAATAATGTGTAAGAAATTAAACATGAATTATAAAATTTAATAATTATTATTTTAAATAAATACTAAACTTAAATTCTGCTTTAGTTTCTTTTTTTTTTTTAAAGATTTTATTTATTTATTTGACAGAGAGAGAGATCACAAGTAGGCAGAGAGGCAGGCAGAGAGAGGGAGAGGGGGAAGCAGGCTCCCTGCTGAGTAGAGAGCCCGATGCGGGGCTCAATCCCAGGACCCTGAGATCAATACCTGAGCCGAAGACAGAGGCTTGACCCACTGAGCCACCCAGTGCCCCTCTGTTTTAGTTTCTAAACTGATAAATATCAGTAGGTATAAGAACCCTTAGAAACAAAATGTCTTGGAGATCCCTTTGGTGCCCTGGGCACTTGAGGGGTTTCTGTTTGTTAGTCACGTGCCCCAATGTCAAGTAGGAAAGAAAGTGTGAATGAAGCAAACATTTGTAACATGATACTGCTTTCCCTTTCTTCCTCCTCCATAAAGGGATATCTACAAGTGGTCTGGAGTTCCATGCTCTAGAAAGTTCCAAGGCCTGTGGCTTCTAGCAAAGACGCTGTGACAGTTGAAGAGACGCAGAAGCCAGCTGTCGTGGAGGATCCTGTTGTCGGAGAATGTTCTGCACCCATGGATGTAAGTAGAGCCCATTGCTGAAGCTGTCACCCCATGAGCCAGGAGGGGGGGCAGTGACGACAGGACATGTACCCTGAAGCCATTCACTTACCTGGCTGGTGTCACAAGGACCGTCAAGCGCACATATTCTGTGCTGAGAGCTGGTATCAGAGGAGATCATGTATTTGATTGTAGGAAAAGCCGATGTTGAATGTCAGCTCACACTTGACTGAGCCTGGTTAGGGGCCGATCCCGGGGTGTCCTGGCTCAGGGCATCCTCCCTGGCTCTGAGTGGCCCAGGCTATCTTGACCTTCCCTGTCCCTACAGAACCCACTAGAATCTCAGGGTTCCCACATTGATCTGGATCTCTCCTAATTTCATTAGTTTATTTATTTTTTTAAGTTGCCTTCTTCCAGCAATAATTTGAGGTAGCTTAGAGAAAAATAATAATTCACAGAACTACTGAAACCAGGGTTATTGAAGCAGAGTGCCATGATAAGGTTTGGAGGACTTACATGTACCAGAGAACCGAGCCCGGGCTTCTCACTTAGTCCCGGGCCTCTGGGTGGTTAGAGGAGCGTGGTGCATCTCAGCGTCTCTGCGGGTTAGCCAGGAAGCGTTTGCCCATGTCGAGGTGCTCTGCTCTGGGTGCATTTTGGTCTTGAGGGGACTTTCAGTTCATCCTTCAGCAGACTCAGATCCCGCTAACGAGTCTAGAACTGTAGTCATCCACCGTCTGCCTGGAGGTCTCAGAAGGCAGAAACCGTATGTCCTTCATGCCCACAGCCCCGGCATCCAGCTCGGGTCTGGCGCACACGAGGTGCCCCGGGGGAGCCCACGGACTTGATTGAGACTAACTTTCCTCATGGCTTCAACTTTCCTCACTGCTTCGTCAAACTTGCCGAAGGAATGGGCGGCTGAGCGAATAACGTGGACCCTGAGTCCTGGGGAGGGACGCCTCCTCCCAGAGATCTCCTCTCACTGCCGGGATGCTCACCGAGTTATACGCGCCTCCCATTTGTTATCTAAGGAACAAGCCTCCTCCCCATTTCTCCTTCACCTCCTTGTGGTGATAAACCATGCTGGGTCCCTTTCTTCCCGCAGCTTGCCTTGAAACTGATTTATTTCCCTCCTTCCTCCCTCCTTCCCTTCCTTCCAGTCGGCTTCCGAGAGACTCCTGATACTGGAGGCCGGAGAGGTCTTAACCAGGCCCCTCACGGCGTGCCGTTACCAATGAATAATTCAGGGCTACGCTTAACCACCAACCAGCAGCTGCTGCAGATTTTCTCTATTACATGAGATTCCTCCAACGTGATTTCTTTGTGGCTCTCACTGCTTTATTTTCCAGAAATGGTCCCTGCAGACCCCCCTCCCCCTGCCACCCAATCCAGAGTGACTATGTCCAGAAATTAGTATTTCAGTACCCCAGCGTGTGCTGGATATAGATGGCCTTGTCCTGTGAAGCCTCCTTGGGCCGCCTCTCCCTGCCTCCACTCTCACGTCACACCGAGAGCTCCCCTCAGGCACTTCTGCCCCCAAGGAAGACGCCTTCTGCTCTCTTCTGGTTGCCAGTCCAGGCTTCCTCCTCTTCTGAGAATGACCGCACTATTTCCTTCTGTTCAGAGACTCGTCTCCATTTCCTGTGTCTCCTCTTAATAGGAGGACCAAGCTATTTAGCATCTGAACGGGAACCCGTGTGAGGGAAGGGGGGATTAAGAACAGACGTTCTGTCATGCGGGGCTCACCGGATTGCGGGGTCCCCTGCTTCTCAGAGCTCCGGCTTCACTCACTAATACTGAGAGCAGAGGTTACTGAGGGCCTTTGGAGAGAGATGCCACCGGTTCTGTTGGTTGTTGGTTTGCCCCCACCCCCAAACCCAACCTCTGGTGTAGATTCCACTCAGGGGAGAGCCTGTCCCCTCCTGGAGGTTAGAGCTCCCAGGGGACACTGTCAAGCTTGTCACAGAATGGGTAGTCTGTGGGCGAGCCGGCAGAGCCGTGGGCCTGTCTTCCCTGCCTTTTCTTTCCTCTTCATCCCTCCCTCTCCCCTCCCCTCTGCTTCTTCTTCTGTGGGTCTTCCTGTTCTCACTCTGCCTCCCACCTGCCTCTCCCTCCGTGCCTCCTTCCTCTCAGCTTTGCTCTCTCTTCTCCTGTCCACTTGTCATTCACACTGTCTTCCTTTCCCTCTCTCTCCCAAAATGGCTCTTCCAGCGGTGCTGGAGTGCGGCTGCCAACGTTAGCTTCTCCTTTAAAGGAAAAGTTTGTATTTCCAACTGGAACTTGATTTTCCTTCATGAGCGAGAAGCTGTCTTTTTCCCATTGCGAGGGGCCTAGGCCTGGTCTGTTTCACTTGAGTATCTCGGATGGGAGGTCCGGCTTTCCTGTGTCCTGGAGGAAAGTTGTCTTGGGGATGGCACAGCCTGGGTGTTGGAGGTGGGGGTGGCGGTGGGGGGGGGTGGCATTTGGAGCTGTGACCAGAACACACGTGGTCGAACGCAGAGTGTGTTATGGTGGAGATGACTGAGACGCTGAGACCACGTGCCTGCCTAGACCTCGAGGTCTGAGACTTTGGAACATGGCGGTGCCAGGATTATTTTAGAAAAGGCAAGATCAGGGTCAGAGTCTAACTAATGAGAGAGTCACGGCTAGTGTGCCACACAGGAGAGGAGACACCAGTTAGAAACCGAGGCACCAAGCCTGCCTAGGGGAAGGGAGGTCCGGGGAGCCAGAGGCTGGCGTAGATGTTTCTGGATGAACTGGGCTCCAGCAACATTCTGAAAAGCATGAGCCGAGAATGGATTGTGGTGCAATGCAAGGAACTGTGAGGCTGGAGAGCAGCATGGGAAGGAACAGAAAAGAGAACCATGCCCAATGTGGAGGTAGGGGGGGTGCGAGCAGGAAGGGAGACGCCCAGGAGGTGGTCTGGTGATGAGTGGTAATGGAAGAGAACAGCACTTGTGGCTGGGTGGTCCTCAACTGTGGAGGGGGTGAGGCTGGGGCCCAGCCTGGGGGCTGGGCAGCAGTGCAGTATGCAGAGGGGGTGAGATGGGGTCGGTCATTATCGGTGAAGCTGACCTCAGCAGCAAAGCCACAGAGTGACCAGTGAACGAGGGCTGCACTGGACGCAGGGGTCAGGGGTTGGGGGGAGGGAGCAAATGGCAATCTATGGGGAGCAGAGGGTTGAGGAGGGGTGGAAGAGAGAGCTGGAAAGGAAGACAGCTGCCAGATTGGGGAGAGCTCTGACCGCTGGCTGGGCTGTGACATCTGGACACCATCTCAGCATGGGCCTGGTCCGTGCCCCTCTTGCCAAGTGTGAGTGCAGCTCTGAACCAGGTTTAAGGGGGAACTAGTCAGGGCTCTAAAAATAGACATACATGAAACCCTCGGAGCCAGCGTTATCTATGGTGTCAGCCTCTTGATTTTGTTTTGATCTTTAGTTTATAAGACTCGATTGAAGGGTCAGCCACAGACCACATCACCCAACCTAGGGCTGCTAGCAAGAATCTTATTTCCATTGTTTCAATGTTCATTGCCTTCTAATGTCTCATATGTTAATGACCTTAGCCTGAGACTGTGGGCTGCAGGAATGATGTTAAGTTTCCCCACAGGCAGCATTCACTGAATTTCCTTCTGCACTTGAACCTACTCAAAGTTCCTGCTTCGTGATATGTGGAGCCCCTGGTTCCTCCTTCTGTGGTAGATGAGAGGGGTAGGGGTGACCCTTCTAGACATTCATAGCGTTGGTCAGGATTTTTTTTTTTTTTAGAATTTTTTTTTTTTAAGATTTTATTTATTTGTCAGAGAGAGAGGGAGAGTGAGCGAGCACAGGCAGACAGAATGGCAGGCAGAGGCAGAGGGAGAAGCAGGCTCCCTGCAGAGCAAGGAGCCCGATGCGGGACTCGATCCCAGGACGCTGGGATCATGACCTGAGCCGAAGGCAGCTGCTTAACCAACTGAGCCACCCAGGCGTCCCTGGTCAGGATTTTCTAACTGATGTCTCCTTGTCTTAGATCTTCCTATGACCTCTTATACTGATTTTTTTTAATGTGTATGAGCTCCCCTCTCTCACTCCCCGCACTCCCCCGCCGCCCCCCTCAATAAAGATATTGTAAGAATCTGTTAGCCAAGGTTTGAGTTTCCATGAGGAATTTTTGCGTTTGTTTACCATCCAGCCTAGTATGATACATGCATTCTCTGTTTGGGGGTAGAGAAACTGGGTAGGTGGGGGTGGGTGGGAGCAGGACCCACCCGCTCCCCTGTTTCACCCCAGAACTGGGTTTTGTGCAGGATAGTCCCAAACAGATCTTGCTTAATTGAAGCCCCACCTGTGGACCACCTCCGTGTCATCAGGAGCTTGTCAGAAGTACAGAGTCTCAGGCCTCAGAACTCAGAGTCTGTAATTTGACTGGTGTTTGAGACGCGCTGGTCTCCAGATTAATGGGTACAGACCACCTGGGGATCATGTTAAAAAATGCCGTTTCTGATATTATCTGAGGTTACTTAGGTAATGGTAGAACAAGGAGGCCTCAAAGTTTTCTTGTACCAAAGCAGCAACTTCCTTCCTAAGGGTGTCAGTGAATATCATTTCTTCCTCACACTGACACTCCTGCACAGAACAGTTTATGTCAGGGGTTCGCAGACTATAGCCTGTGGTCCAAATCCAGCCTGCTGCTTGTTTTTGTCAATAAAGTTTTATTAGCACCCAGTGCTGCTTATGTATTTTTACATTGCCTGTGGCTTCTTTTGAGTCACACAGCCCAAGTCAAATAGTTCTGACAGAGACCTTTTGGCCCACAAAGCCTAAAATATTGACTCTCTGGGCCTTTACAGGAAAAAAAAAAAAAAGGAGAAGAAGAATAATTTGCTGGTGCTGACTTATGCGATGAACCCAAAATATTTCCTTGAAGTAAAGGAAATAGCTATAATCATTTGCCCCAGCTGCAAAATTTGCAAGCCCATCTTAATCCATCATGGAGAGCTGGAATCATAAAATGTAATTCCCAGGTGGGCAATGAAGTATC